ACAAAGGGAGGCGATACCATGGGACCCACAAGACAACTAATTTCAGAAGAACAGGTGGGAAGTTATCCAAGGGGACTTAGCAGTGAACCAGTACTTGGTTCAGTGTGTTTCAACAGAATCTCCTCTGAGCAGCTGATGGGCAACCCTGTCAACAGCAATGCCCTGGGTTGGGACCCAGTGAAGTAGCGAGGGTCTGGGTTCCCCTAGCCTGGCTACTGCCTGCCAGGAAGCAGCAGCCCACCTCCCCAGATGCCCTGGCCATCAGGCTACGCAGCTGTGTAAAGAAGGACAGTCATACTGACTCTGCCACTAAGACACACAGCCCTGTGAAAGAGAGCATCTATATAGACTCTGACCATTAGGAAACACAACCCTGCATGAGAGGGCAGTCATATGGACTCTGGTCACTAGACCATACTGTCCTGCTGCTTAAGGATAGTGCTGTCAACTCTGGAATGGCCATGCTGCCCTTTGAGGAAGAGCAGTCATATTGACTCTGCCCTGAGACTAGGGCAATCAAATGAATGCAGCTGTAGAACCATAATGTCCCCTTTGGGACAGAGTGTACCAGCCCCGTAACATAGCTCTATATAAAAACCACATTCAATTGCTTTCTAGAACCTTTAAAGGCAAATTAGTCATCCTGCAAGACACAATAATAAGTTTTGCTAAAATTTGATCTCATTACATAACAGATTGTTGTATTAAAAATTAAATAAGCCTTGAAATACACAGTAATTTGTAAACACGAGGGACCTGATCCTAACAAAAGGGAGTGCACTAGCTGTGCCTACTTTTTAAAATCCTTTCTGTAAATATCGTAACATTTTCCTATTTGCTTCAAATGTGGGAGGACTAGACTTTGTGAACCCGCTTGTTAAAATCCATGCTGCATTAATTTTGACTGATTGCTTTTAGGGATTCTGGAGTCTTAATATTTCTCTAACTAGCCTTAATTCATAGATTCCCAAGCCGGATGGGACCATTGTGATTATCTAGTGTGACCGTCTGTATTACTCAGACTTTAGAATTTCCTCAAAATAATTCATAGAGCATCTCTTAGAAAAAACATCCAATCTGGAGTTTAAGATAGCCAGTGATAGAGCCTCCCCAGAAAAACTCTTCCAATGGATAATTACCCTTTTTTGTTAAAAATATATGCTTTATTTCCAGTCTGACAATTCCAGGTTGGCATGTGACAGTTGCTATTCGGTCCCAGGGGATGCTCTTTTGAGTGCATTTTCTGTTTGTGTTGTGAGATTAGGCCCTAATCCTGACAGGAAATGGATCCCTCACCAGAGGTGTTAAGCATTTCACAGAAGCAGGTAATTTACTTATATGGGAGTGGTTACTGTCAGTATTCCCACCTGTAAAATGGCAATTCTAATACCTCCCAACCACAGAGGTCATGATGCTTAATGTTTCCAAAGTGTTTTGAGATGTTCAGATGGCAGTCACAAGGTGACTGGCCCCTTCAAGAGGTATTGGGTCCTGGTTGCACTAAGCTTTCCTCCCTACATGGGAAGAGTTATCAGTCACATGACAGGGAGATCAGGAGGCTAATTTAGGCCAGGGTGGTAAGACAGTAGCAGCCTAGAGAGAGCTAGAGGTCTGATAGGCTGCTTGTGGAAACAAATGTCTGTTTGCCACACACTCCAAGAATGAGAACTGTGGGACACCTGAATCAAGGAGAGGAAGGGTTAGGACAGGCATAGTCAATAGACAGACTGTGGGCCAAATTCAGACTGCCAGACAATTTGAATGGTCCCTGAAATCTTTTTATTTATTTAGTATCATCATCATTGTTGTGGTTTTTTTATTATTATTTTCTCTTGAGTCTTGATCTTGACTATACCTTGACCAAGAAATCTGGATCTTGACAAAAAATAATTGACTGTCCCTTTGTTAGGGACAAGAGGCAATGAGTCAGTGTTCTGAAATGGCATTACAAATAAGCCCCCATAAGGAGGGGAAAAATCTTACTTTAAGTATTCTGCATTATGCATGAGCCATTAGGAAGCTAAAGGCAGACTGCATGCTGGACCAGATGATGCCACAAGGGGGCATGCTCTGGGACAACATCTTCCACAGTCACTACAGAAGTCCAGAATATTTTATTTTTATTAACTGAGTCCATTGCTTAAAGTGGAGAGGCCCTTGAAAACAAGTAATAAGGTTACATGATTGCTCAGTACTGATTAATTATTATTATTAGTTGTATTGTTTAGGAGCCTGAGTCCTGGATCAGGATTCCACTCTGTTAGGTTCCATACAAACCAGAACACACAGACAGTTATGGCAGATCATCCTTAAAACTGGTGATGCCTATGTTTTGCATCCTATACCGACTGACTGTTTTCCAGCAAGTGAACTTCAATGTTTCACTCTTACTACAGGTTGAATCTCTCCTATTCTGGCATCCTCAGGACCTGACCGGAGCCGAACCAGAGAATTTGCCAGACCAAGGGAGGTCAATGTTGTCTAGAAGTATTACCAACACTTTCACTGCTTGCTGGGCTATTAGAAAACATTCAGAGGTAAATTAGAGCTCAGCACAGGACACTGAGAGCCAGGACTGGTAGCTGTAAATAACTTTGTGGGACCACAAGAAACTTGGCCACACTCATGATAAGTGGACATCTAGCTAACTATAATCATGTTGGACCATGGATGATGCCAAACCAGAGATGCCAGATTAGAGATGTACAGCCTGTATTAGATTGCTCCCATATTATGTATCTCTATTGTATAGGTTGAACCTCTATGGTCTGGGACTCTTTGGTCCAACAACATCCATGGTTCACCAGGGGTAGTAGGGTGGCCACGAGCTCTGGTGGGGTGGCAGGTCTATTGTTGTTCATGTGGTGCTGAAGCTGTGGATACGAGTCCAGAGGGGATGCTGGCGCACACACACCCCAAGGGTGCCGGACCAGGGAGGTCCAACCTGTGCTATCAGTGTTACTATAGATGGAACAGGATCACACCTGTTATTGAGGTTGCTCAATACTTCCCATTAGGAATGAGTGCTGTGGAAAAAATACTGTTTTTAGCAAGTAGCTAAAAATTTCTGGGTACTCTGAAAAATTAGGCATTAAATTAGGTATTGACAAGTAGTGTCCATCTGACAGTTTTGTCCTTTATCTCTCTCTGTCTCAGTCTCCCAGCTGTCAAATATGAAAAATAAAACTACTTATTCTATAGGGGCATTGCGAAGATAAATTCATTAATGTTTGGGAAGCACTCATGATGACAGCACCATTGACATGCCCATAAGGAAATTAATCATTTTCTATTTAGTGTGTGGGTTTAAATGTTGTGTGCTAAATAAGACCTGGAGCCACACATTCCATTTGTGCAAATGAAAAGAAATTTGAATGACTGCCCATTCACTGAAAAATAATTGTACGTGATCATGTAATTACAGACTGCATCATAATTCATATGCATAAGCAGGCTGACTTCAGGCTACATGTGCAACGTTAATTCTGACATTTCCTAACTTTTGTGTATTTGACTTTTCAATCATAATGTTTCTCTAATGTATATATGTATGTTGTTATTGTGTGTATATTATTATTTAATAATACCATGCACCTTTTCAAAGCACCATACAAACAGTAACTGATGGGTCCTACAAACGAGGCTGCCTTATTTCCCTTTGGGATAGCAGATATGTGGGGAGCTAGACCTGCTGAGCATCCTCCAGTATACTTCTGAGAGGTTGGGAAGCAGAAAGTTTTCCACTGATCATTCCTGAAAGTTCCTGCATGAACTGTAATAGCCAATTGAAGCTCAAGATATTTTGAGGCCTGATTATCTTCTCACTCATACTGGTGTAAATCAGGAGTAATTATGCAGGGGAGCAAGAGCAGAATCAGGCTATTTTATCACCATGTGGATTCATCTGGTAGGTTTTTGTTTTATTTATAGACCGTTGAAAGGTGAATTTTTAGTGGTTTCTCTTCACTGGCTTGCAGATTTATGGGGCTATGTTCCTTTTTATTATATTTTAGTTAAATTTTGTTAAGCTGTCAGAGTTTAGACACAGGAGAGCATATTATTATATTAGTAGTGTTTTAGTAGTAGTAGTGCTAGCAGGTGAGGCCCATCATTGACCAGGCAAAGTCATTTTGCATAGATTACACTTATAGGAAAGTTCAAGAAATTAACTATATGTAATATATTTTTTGTAATGTGCTTGCAAAAGAGAAGTAAAGGGATAGTTTTAAATTTGTAAACATTATTCATTTATTGAATGATTACCATATATAGTACATTTGAATCAGAAATTCATAAAGCTTCCATTACACTTTCAGTAACTAATTTGAATTATTTTGTGATTTATAACACTAAAATTCTTCTTTGCACTAAAGTGACAGTTGAATAGGTGACTGGATTTTAATTTTGTTAGCAAATATTTTTTATGAACCCTACCCATAATAGTCATGACTTTTTTCTGATGAAAACCAAAAATAATTGTTTAAACCTTTTACCCAGCCTATTCTGGTGTAAAAAGCAGTGCATTCAGCTAATGTAGGTAACAGGATTGTTTATGCAAAATTTGGTGTTAGTAGGTAATCTCCAAGTATGACTTTATTTTGCACAAACAAATCCACAAACACTCTTAAAGATATATAATAGATAATTATTGCCATTTTATTAGTAGTACTATTATTGATGATAAGATATAGTATTATTATTATTATTTTATTATTATTATTATCGTATTGCATTATAATAATAATTATAATATCCAATCAAAAGCCGAGCTACAACCTTTTTGCTTTTCCCCATCTGTGGCTACCTTTGCTCTGCTTTTGGCATTTTTGTTCTTGGTCCCTTCCAGCCAAGTCTCTCAGTCTTTCAAATGTTGCTTTGTAATTACATAGTCTCCCACTTTGTATTACTTAAACTGTCTTCTGAGACTACTGTTATATTAAAATTAAATAAATACATTAAGCTAAAACTATGGAAACTGTTCTTTCTTTTCTACCAGTGGAAATAACGTGTCCTGCTTTTGAATGGAGATGCGTAATTATAGCTGTTGCTGACTGAAGACAGTTGGAACCTAGTGCTCCTCAGGGGAGGAGCTTGGAGTAATCAAGATGAAAGACCGTTATCACAAAGACAGTGCTTTAGCCATGGGACAGAAAGGAAGAATGGACTTTTGATAAGTTATGGAGGAAGAAGTGGCATGACTTGGTATAATTCTGGATAGAGTTGGTATAATTCTGGAGGAGTCAAAAGTGATACCAAGAGGAATGATGGAGGAAATGGTGTGGCCATCCACAATAATGAGTAAGAGAAGAAATGCAGAGGACATCAAAAGAAAGAGCAAGATTTTGGTCATACTTAGTCTGAATTATTGGTGAGTCATGAAGGCTGGTAGGACAGAGAAATGGTCCAAAATGAGAGGCTGGATAAAAGGTCAAGTGTGGAAAGGTGTGTGACCCATCAGCTAAAGTGGTAACGGTGCATAAAGAAGTCATTAGAAAATTGGACGAGTCTACTTTCAATGCAGTGGAGGGATGGAAAGGCAGTTTGGAAGGGATTCAGGAGGAGAAAAATTTAGAGAAAAATTCAGGAGGAGAAAAAGTTAGAGGAGAAAAATTCCTGTTAGTGGTTGTAACTGGCTTAGTCAAAGAGATTATAAGTTATTCTGAATGTCTACATTTCAGTCACATGCTTTTGTTTTGATCATATGCTTTATTTCTCATAAACGTTCTGAGGACTTTTTAAATCAGTATTCAAAAACTAAATCCTTGAGGTTTTGGCAAATAAGCACTGTTTGTCACATGTGCCGTTGATCTCTAACATACATAACTGCCCACGTGGTACATGATAGCTTATTGTGAGTTGACATGGCTGCAGTGATATTTGTCATATAGCAGCATTTTGGTAGTTATGCTATAGTTAAAGGTTATGAGGCACTTTTCATATGCAGCTGCGTTAGGCAAGGGATAAACTAGCTTGAATGAAAACTCTGTTTTGTTTCAAAAATAAACTTTCTGCTTTCTCTAATTGAATATTATTCCAGGGAGCAGGATAATGTTCTAGTTTGTAATAACTAAAGGTGCAGGCCATTAGTTTTTTTTTCTTATGGGAAATGTATTTAGAACAATAAAAAGGCTGTGCAAAAATGAATTCTTGTTAAACATGTACCATGTGAGAGCTGAAGGGCACACTGAGTCTATAAAAGCTTCAGAAGTATAAAGTAGGAGGCATCTGGAAGGCCAGGCAGATTGTTGATTGTGACGTGGAATCTTTCTCGTGTAAATTTTTTGTTTCAGTTGAGCTCCATTTAATAATAAGCAAGAATCAGTATTGTATGATGATCATTCACTAGTCTCTGTAAAAATGAGCTGGTGGTTTCAATGAGGTTCCTAGTGCTAACTTTGTAAAAGTCTCAACAGAGCCACCAACTACTGAATGGGCATGGAGACTAAACTAACCACCCATATCTAGAGACTGTATGGTACCTTCAGAAACATAAGGCACATTGTTGGGGCATAGTGGGCACATTCTGTTGGTTCTATGGGGAATCTCTGCCTTTCTATTAAGAAGTTCCCAATCTGCCACCTTCTGAAGCAATGTCATTATTTTGTCTCTTTTCCTAAGTCTAAATGTGAAGTGCGAGATAAAATAACCCCTCATTACACAATGCAAATACAGTAACTGTAGACCAACTTTCTTCCGCATCCTGCCACATTCAGGGCAGCAGCAACCCAGTGTGACTGCACTTTGGGACAGGTTAGTTAGCTCACCAGATATTCTAAACTCACCTTCCAATTCCACATTGAAAAATAAAAACAGGGGCCCAAATGAGCATGAAATAAGGCTGGTTTTCCCCACCATATTTTTGTTTGTATTGTTTGTTTTCTATAAACCCATGGAGGGAAAAAATAACACTTTTCCCTGCAATATTGCAAACATAATAAAAAACAAACACATGGTAATTAGCTTCCCCATTAAGTAGACCAAGCATAAACAATAGCAGTTGTGCAGTGATGATTGCAGACAATATCCTAGCCCATTTTTTATTTTATATTTTTACTATTCAATCAACACTGCTAAATAGAAACCATGGCAGTTATACAAAGATGTCTTACACAATTTTTCATCTGGCTTTATGCCTCATTCTCATATTACCTTCCTCTCTCGCCTTCAACAGCAATATGCATGGCTGATTAGAGAAAAATGCAGAAGCTACTTCCTCCTTTCCTTGCTTTTTTTTCCTCCAGCTTCATGCCTTAGGGAGAAAATTGAATCACATTTGTTAATTTTACCCTCAGAGCCTAACCTGAGAACGGGGGGAAAAATCTCTTTCAACCTGATGTAAGTTGCATATAAATTCATATATGAACACTGCTGTATTAGACTACTTGATTAGTGTTTGATTGCAATTTGAGGGACATATTGCTTACAACTGTTATATAGAAGTATTATAGTAGTCTAAATTAGATACGTCTGGCTTTCCCTTTTTATTCGAAGTAGAAATATTTAGGGGCTCCCACAAGCTATAACTGAAATCTCTGTGTGATGGACCCCCCTCCCATACTTTATGAAATGGACTTATGGACACAAATATGCATAACTCAAAGATGCTCGGGAAAATTACCTTACATAACCTGTCAATTCTAATGTCTTAATCCACTAGGTCTGTATATCTTATTTGGTGTATGTATTGTTCTTGTGTGTAACGTTAGATATATGGAGTATGGAATGCTTTATGGTTTTAAATGTGCAAATGAAAGCCATAAAGGGTGTTACCCTCAATGTCTAGATGACCAACTGTAAACAACTTCCTTTGTCCTCTAAGTCTTAGCGGTGGTTGGTCTTAGAAAGTCACATGTCCACTCCAACTGGAAGGGGCAGACCAAGTAATTGTCCATGGAAAAGTGGTATCTATAAATTGTCCATGGAAAAGTGGTATCTTTGTCTGTAGCTGGTGTGCCACATGCAAGTGAATGAATGAAAGACCCCAAGGAGAGGGAACTTCCCTGGTTTGGAGGCTTAGCTGGAGCAAGAAGTTTTAGGGTGATTTTGTAATAAGTTTTTACTAAGGTTTTAGTGTTAGAATTAGCTAAGCATTTTCTGTTATTTTAAATTTTTGATCAACTTTGCTCCACCTGTTTTCACCTACGAACTCTTAAATCCTACTGCTTTACTTAATAAAATCACTTTTATTTACTATCAAGCCCAGTGTCAATCATTGTTACCTGGAGGAGCAAACAGTATGCACATCCTCCTTTCATTGTTAAAGGGGGATTACCTAAATAATTCCTTTGGAGGTTTTGATCCCATTTGGAGAGTGGTATCCCAGGAAGCGGGGCCCAAAACTACATTTTCCTTAGACCTGAAGAGTTTAGCTGTCTGTACTTCTCTAGGTGTCTGTACTGCTGCTGGTTAGCTCTGTGCCTTGACTAGGAGAAACCAGGGAGCTGGCCCAGCAGGACAGGGTAGTGTGAAATCTGGCCTTGGAAGGTAACTGCCATCACCAAGTGAAACAAAAGAAATCCCTTTCTCCTTGAACCTAGGAAGAAAGCACTTGGACTTCTTCCAGAAGCATACCCCAAGCTCTTTTACCAAATGAGAGTTTGGAAAAAAGAGAAAACAAACTGCAGTACCTGATAGATGACCTCTCAGTCTAGGCAGACACAAACACAGACCTCCTGTTTCTTTCAAGGGACAAGAATCAAATCATCACCTTAACAAAAGGTGATTTTATTAACAAAACAAAAAGATATACTTGATAAAGCAAATTTGGTTGCTAGGTGTTACAGAGCAACTAAGAAAAGAACAGACCAAAAACACAAAGAACTCATAGCTCTTTGGGCTGCAGCTTAAATGGTGAATGTGGGAGGGAAGACATGGGTTCACTCAGAGAAGTTTAACCAAAAAACCAAAACAAAGAAAAATACCCTAATTGCTACTAAATACACATTTTCCCTTATTTACTCACAATCTCTTCATTTTTCAGTCCACTACCATGCCCTGAATTCCTTGGAGGCATGGTATGCCCTGCCTAGGGTTTAAATCATTTTGTCTCCCAAATCCTGGCTTAATTCACACACTAAGTTTTTTCCAAAAAAACTTCAATTACGTCCACACTCCAATTGCGTTCTTTTGAAAAAAAATCAAAACAACAAAGGGTTTTATCTGACATTGGTAGACCTCTTGCTACAAAGAAAAAGTCTTTTTCCGAAAGAAGCATATGTGGACAGGGAAGAGGGACTTCTTTCTCAAGAAGAGGAAAAAGCACAGGTGCCCTGGTGGCCACTCCGTCCATAGTAATCACATCTTGCATGCGAGATAGCATCCATTCAGTGTGGACGCTATCTGCCGAAAAAGCAGACAACTTTTTCGATGCACTTTTGCAGTGTGAACGCTCTCTTTCGGAAGAAGACAGAAGCAGACTGTGAGGGACTCCAAAAAGATCTCACCAAACTGAGTGATTGAGCAACAAAATGGCAAATGAAATTTAATGTGCATAAGAGTAAAGTAATGCACATTGGGAAAAATAACCCCAACTATATGTACAGTATGATGGGGGCTAATTTGGCTATGACAAATCAGGAAAGAGATCTTGGAGTTATCGTGGATAGTTCCCTGAAAACTTCCACACAGTGTGCAGCGGCAGTCAAAAAGGCAAATAGGATGCTAGGAATTATTAAGAAAGGGATAGAAAATAAGACCCAGAATATCTTACTGCCCCTGTATAAAACTATGGTATGCCCATATCTTGAATACTCTGTGCAGATGTGGTCTCCTTACCTCGAAAAAGATACTTTGGACTTGGAAAGGGTTCAGAAAAGGGCAACTAAAATGATTAGGGGTTTGGAATGGGTCCCATATGAAGAGAGGTTAAAACGACTGGGACTTTTCAGTTTAGAAAAGAGGAGACTGAGGGGAGATATGATAGAGGTCTATAAAATCATGAGTGGTGTGGAGAGGGCCGATAAAGAAAAGTTATTTATTAGTTCCCTAAATAGAAGATCTAGAGGACACCAAATGAAATTAATGGGTAGCAGGTTTAAAACTAATAAAAGAAAATTCTTCTTCACACAGCATGTAGTCAACCTGTGGAACTCCTTGCCAGAGGAGGCTGTGAAGGCTAGGACTATAACAGAGTTTAAAGAGAAGCGAGATAATTTCATGGAGGTTAGGTCCATGAAAGGCTATTAGCCAGGAGATAGAAATGGTGTCCCTGGCCTCTGTTTGTCAGAGGCTGGAGAAGGATGGCAGGAGACAAATCGCTTGATCATTGTCTTTGGTCCACCCCCTCTGGGGCATATCGTGTTGGCCACTGTTGGCAGACAGGCTACTGGGCTAGATGGACCTTTGGTCTGACCCAGTATGGCCGTTCTTATGTTCTAAATTTTTTCAGAAGATAACTTCCAGAAAAACTTCTTCCGAACGAAGCCTGCAGTCTAGACATAGCCAAAGAGAGCAAGCAAGGTTCCTATATACAATTAAGATTTCAATACTGTATCCCATTGGTTCTTCTCACCCCCTGCCAACACCCTGAGCTACCTGAGTTTAACCCTTTAGTCACTGAGTGCTGGCCATCACAGATGGACTGTGCTAGCATCTTATATGTTGTATACTACCTTTTTTAGTAACTTATAAACCGCATTTTTAATAGCTGTGTGGAACTTGATATTTAACTACACCTGAATTTTGTCTGTTCCCTTAATAAGACATTGTAGTAACAGAGAAAATGTAAATTCTGCAAAGCTTGTTTGTTGCTTTAAAAAATGGGCAGAGAGAGCTAAAGGTATTCAGTACCCATATTATCTGTATTTCATCTCATAAGTGCATAAATAGTATCCGAAGTGTTATAGGCAATTCTCCATGTCATATTTTCAAGCTAAAATAACGTTATAGTTTATAAACTACAGAAAGAAGGCAATGAACTCATAATGCTCATGGGGAATTATGGATTTGATGTCTTAGCACAAATCAAGCGCAGTATTTTAAATCTGTAATAAAATCTGCCATCTTGCCATTTTGTCAGCCATTAAATTAAGGGTCATTTAAGATACCATTAAGACTTTTTTTAAAAAAGAAATTGAGAATATACTTTGAATATCTGAATTTAAAGCATTAAAAGACTCTAAAGTGTTTAAGGGATTTCTTTGTATCAAGCTTATGTGGGTACATTATCCTGACAGCCTGTTTTCACAGTGCTAAGGGAATTCAGATGTACAAACAGTTAGCACAAGGCTGCTAATGTATCAAGCAGAGATTAAAAAAATATAGTGAGATAACATCATGGGATAACATTGGAAATGTTAGTGACAAAGAATTATTAAATACTGGCCAATTTGATAACCCATCTGATGGTTACTGAACTTTCATAATACCCAATGAAACCTCGTGGGTAGTGTGAGTACTGGTGGCAATAGAGATTTTTGAGGATTGAATTCAGTCTCTGTAGTAGTTGCCATTAGTGCCAATTTGGGGGAAAAGAAATATGGTGCCAAAAGAATTATGATATCCCAATCCCAAATCCAAGAAATATGAAAAGAAACAACTTTTGGAAAAAAGCATAAAAAGAATGTGTTTTGATGCTAAAATTGTCTTGCATTGTTAACTTTTCAAGTTGTGTTATACACAACCAATAACAACTCATCATCATTAAAGATCAAGGGCCATTTTTCACAAGAGTAGCAGTGTTAAAGTGTGGGAAATTAAAATCTGCCTACCTGAAATATCTTCTGGATTTTCAGTTGGAGACTTTTTTTTAATTTCCTCTCCTCTGGTGTTACATTTGCAGAAAAACTACCCTTCTCCCTTTCAGGAGTGACCCTAATATAGAAAGGCTACGTCTAGACTACAGGTTCCTTTAAAAAAAAGTGGCCTTTTTTCGAAAAAACTTCACCTGTGTCTAGACTGCCACCACATTCTTTCAAAATTAAATTGAAAGAACAGGATGGAGTTTTTTTTGACAGCAGTAAACCTCATTTTACCAGGAAGAAAGCCTTTTTCGAAAGAGATCTTTTAAAAAAAGGCATTCTTGACTGCAAACAGGGCTTTTTCAAAAGAGAGCATGCAGATTGCTTAGGTGCTCTCTTTCGAAAAAGCGGATCGCTTTTTCGAAAAAAGCTGTGGCTGTCTAGACGATCTCTTTCAAAAGAAGCGTGTAGTCTAGACGTACTTGAGTCTGTTGCTTTCATCTTGTCTTTTTGAGCAAAGAAGTAATCCCACTAACTACACAGATGGAAAAGTGCATCTTGAGGTGAGATA